CGTCTCGCCGCAGCAACTCACGCCCATCAGGCCCGTGCTTGCAAATAAGATGTCGATGGTTTATTGGTGTATGACAATGCGACGGCCGAATGGAGGCGCTGGGAGATCCATCTCCGAATCACGTACAACTCACGCCCCCATACAAAAAGCGCGAGACGCCACGCCAGCACCCCGACGAGGTAGCGACACTACCCAAGGCAAGAGCATCCAACGTACTGCAACGGCGTCACGTGTTGCCGTTGACGACGTGGCGTGCCTTGCGCAGAAGGCGCTCGCGGATGACGCCGTACACCCGCTGGCAGGCGGCGGTGAGCGCGCCCACCGACTTGTCCAGGGCGTCCACGGACATCACGCCCTCCGAGTACAGGCACGTGACCTGCGGGCACGAGGACACGCCGCCTGAGGGTGCGCGGACACGTCAACGGCGGGTGCGGAGACACGCCACCAGCGGGTGCAGAGACGCTGCCTGTGGGAGGCGGGCACGTTGCATGCGGAAGCAAAGACATGACGTCTGCGTGTACACGTGAAGGCACGACACACACGCCGTTCGCGAGTACACTCCGACGTGAGAGAGTCGCATCTCTTGCAGCTAAAGAGACGGTGGAGAGCCTGCGGGGGCGAACAGTGGCAAGCTGCACAGAAATGTGACACGTACCAGGTACCTGGCGGTATACTACGAAAACATCTTACTGAGACTCAAGCGCTAAAAGATGTACGTCCAATCGCCGCTTTTCACTTCTTTCGAACGTCAACCAAGGATGCGTCAGTTCCAACGCCTGTAGATATGGCGCCAGATCGGTACCAACCACACTGCCGTTGCACGCAGTTCAGCCCCATCCCACCGGACCGTCCGGCCCGGCCGCACCTGCTGCAGCTGCGGCATGTAGCCGACGGTGACGTCTCCGTGCTCGGCGCTAGGCTCGGCGGCCGTGCGGGGTGCCAGCTCGCCGCTGTCCGGGTCCAGCAGGTCACGGCCGGCCGTGTGCCGCTGAGGCAAGGCGGCGCTCCGGGTCACGCCAGCACGCACGGCACGTATCCAATGAATGCACTCCCTCCAATCCGTAATCGCTTGGCGAAAGGGCTTTTTTATTATCAGGTTTCCTCCCTTTGATCCAAAGGTCCTACGATATTTGACGACTGGGTTCTAAGATTCGCAAAGGTCATATTCTATAATTGTATTTCTATCTATAATCACCACTAGGTCATATTCTATAATCTTATTTGTCCGCAATGTTTTTCTTATGCTCGTCCAGACGAAAGGGTCGGTTTGCGTATCACGCGAGCATTCTGTCCAACAATTTTGTACATTACAAGCTACTAGATACCAATGCAGAGATACCTTGCTTCATCCAACACATTTACCAACACGTCCAAATTCAGTCAATCGGCACCACAATCCAATCACCGCCATGTCACTAAAGCAGTCGGTGCGCCCACAAACCCAAATCACCGTCACCTTTATCACCCCACCGCCGTCAGGGGCACCCGCGCCCGGCCGCGGCGCGCACCACCGCGAGCCGGCCGGCGCGGACTCACCAGGGCTGCGGCGGCCACCAGGTCATACATGGGCACGCTGGCGTCGGCCAGGGCGGCGCTGACGGCCACGACGGCCGCCGCCAGCGCGCCGCCGTCGTCCTGCAGCACGTACACGAACACGTCCACGTTCGACTTGGGGAACTCGTGCTGCCGGCGGAGCGGGGCGCGGTTACAGGTCCGCGCCAGCACGGGGAGGCGACGGAAGCGGTCAGGCAGCCAGCTGGCTGGTCTGTCATGCGTCGTAATACCCAACAGTGGCGGAAGTGACTGCCGTCAGTTTGCAGGATCGTTACCTCCAGGACCACTCGACTGAGTCTCAGCCTCCGAGACCACGCATCAGACAGAGCATCATCATCCGGAACCACCACCAGACAGAGCATGGCCATGCGGGACCACACACCAGACAGAGCATCATCACCCGGGACTGACCACCCGCCAGACAGAGCCTGGTCATGCGGGACCACACACCAGACAGAGCATCGTCACCCGGGACTGACCACCCGCCAGACAGAGCCTGGTCATGTGGGACCACACACCAGACAGAGCATCATCACCAGGGGCCGACCACCCGCCAGACAGAGCCTGGTAATCCGGGATCACCCACCCACCAGGGAGCATCATCATCCAGCACCACCCAGCAGATAGATCATCACCATCTGGGACTGCCCAGCAGACAGAGCATCATCATCTGGGACCACCCAGACAGAGCATCACCACCCAGGACTGCCCAGCAGACAGAGCATCATGATCCAGGACCACCCACCAGACAGAGCATCACCATCCAGGACCGCCCAGCAGACAGAGCACCACCATCTGGGACCGCCCAGCAGACAGAGCATCACCATGCAGGACCACCCAGCAGACAGAGCATCATCATCTGGGGCCACCCAACAGACAGAGTATGGTCATGCGGGACCACACACCACACAGAGCATGGTGATCCGGGACCGACCACCCACCAGACAGACGGCGGGCTCGACGGCCGTGCGCAGCGTCTGGCTCAGCTCTCGCTCCTGGTTGTCGGGGATGTAGCCGCGCCGGCGGCGGCACGAGAACGGCGCGAACTTGAGCTCGCAGCTCAGCTGGCCGGTGGTGCTGAACTCAGAGCGGCGCGCCACCTCGCGCGGCCCGTACACGGCCGCCGTCACCTTGGTGGCGCCCATCTCCAGGTAGCACGAGCCCTGCGCGTGCAGCGTCGTGCCCAGGCGCAGGTCTGTGAAAAGAGGGGGCGGCGTATCAGTCACATACAAGCATTGACACAGTTAAGTGTTTGACCGGATTGAATCGCTTGATTGAAGAAAATGACATAGGCACAACACTACACACCACAACAATATGCACAATATTTGTGATTGTGTCCATGCAAAATTATATTTCTGCATTTTTCTTGCTTAGAATAGGTTATTTGGTTTTTTGAACAAACTATCATGTTTAGTACTGGTAGGCACTAATGTCAAACACTGGGATAGCCTTCACCTGGCTCTGTCATTTACCCCCCCCCCCCCCCCTCCCATCCTTCACCTATTTATAGATGTCTGATGGTACCCATCTGACAACCAGTGTACCCTGCATGTTCATCTCCTCATTCATTGCTAGATCTTTCCCCCTATCTCAGCTGATTCCAGCACTTTCAGATTCATTTTATGCATACACTTAGCCAGGATGGTGGTGCTTTCCACCACTCTCACTATTGTCCTCCTGTGAGCTGGCACATGTGCCATAATGTGACAGGTAAGGTTGTACTCACATATGGGTCTCAGCTCATCATCTTTTCTTCCATTCAACCTCACACCACCAGCCCCTGGAGATGGTTCCTCTTCTGGGTCACAGAACTCCGAATAAGGCTGGGAACTCTCTGGCCTTGGATTCCTTTTGCTATCCACTGGCATGGTGTACTTCTAGCTCCCTGGTTTTCAGAACCTCATGCAAAGCTTTTTGTATCTATACCTGTATGGATACAGATAGTCATACATAAAATGTTTGCAGATCAAACAGTATGAGATATCTGAGACAAATGTGGGGATCATGACAAAGTAGAGCCAAGCAGTTGTGCAATGAACAGGTGATACTTCCTAAATATGGTCATGGCAGCCTGTAACTTAATCTGAGCCTACACTGCCAAAAAGCACATGGAAGAAAAGCAGCATTCTAGCATGCATCCGACATGGTGTCCAGAATGTACATCTGAATTCATGTCACCATAATCCTGGCTCTCTGGAGGTCTCCACACATATTCACTGGCATTAATTGACCCTTTGACCCTGAACATAGACATCTGACCTGCCTGGCCCACCATCATGCTTGAAGTTTTAAGGATTGGCTGATTTTACCACAGGTCAAAAGAGGGGTAATGGACAGTGAAACCTAAGCTGGGGGTGCAATCATGCCCATGAAGATATGCAGGCTGTTTCATGGAGACTACTTCCAGGTCATTCAGGCAGGCACAATGTCACAGGAGCACCATCCAAATACTGTCATCTGATTAGCCATGGAGCATTGATGGCCAATAAGGGTATAAATGTTTCCATCATTAAGCTGTTCATATCTGCCTGGTGTCCACCCACATATTCAAATACAGATATAATAAACCCTGAGCAGCTCTGGCTCAATGTTATATAGGCAGTACATGATCTGTACAAAAATTATGTTTTGTGTCACATAATGCAAGAAGCCAGATATCGGTGCTAGATAAAACAGAAATAACAACTATAATGAAATAGCTTAAGAATAACACCATGTGGTATTGTGAACATAAAATAAACCATTTAAACTCAGACAAATTTGCAAGTACATCACAAAAAGGGCAAAAATATGAGCTCATAACGGAACTTGCATCAACACAAATCCAGCATTGCCGATGCAATCTCCTGGTGAATTTTAGTACTACCAGGGAATGCCAGGGCGCCAATTTCACACAGCCGGCGAGGCTACACCCTCAAACCCATACACATTTTCTGCCACACAGTCAAACAATGTTATTGAGGGGCCAATTTTATTATATTTACAATTTAGCTCAATTCATCAAGTACGATGTTTCACATATTCAAGCCCCTACACGTTAGATAGCCTTGCCCCTACACATGCTACTTCACTTTTGACTCACACGCTTCGTTATGGTAGTTATTTTGTGGCTACCATATTAAAATAACTATTCCGTCCCTGCACATAATAAGTCGTAGGTTCCGCACCGGCATCCTGGCGGTAAAAAATAATCAAGCTCGCCATGGTCCGCAGTTCTATAAACTGACAGGAATGCCAGTTGATCTTAATAATCATTTGGCAAAAATGCAGCTAAAATGAATGCGTAACTCTGCGGCTAGTCTCACTTGCTGAGTCAGGTCAGGCACAGGCTCCAGCCCGTATCTCCTAATGATGGGGAGAGAGCCGCGACTGCCGGCCGAGGCTAGCATCTGGCCCCCAGCGACCGCTAAAACAGAACATGAGACGCTCTCGGTCCACGTGGATCACTTCCACCTGGGACTGCTGAAAGCGCATAACTTTGCGCGACAACGTACAGAGGCGACCATCGCGGCAAACTGAGATCTGCACGGCCGCAAGTTAGAAGTGTTCCGCTACCAGGCGGGTGATGCGGTGTACCTGTTCCGGAAGGTGCCCGCACGAGGCGAGTATCACAAGTTTGTTCGGCCCTGGAGACCGGCGGTGGTGCTAGCTCAAACAGGTGAGCTGAGCTACCGCATTCAGCTTAATGAATGCGGTAGTTAATTCAGTTCAGCTGTGCGGCGGCAGGCGCAGGAAACTGTTGGTCCACTGCAATCGGTTGAAGCCACGTAGCGGTGACCCTGCAGAACGACGGTCGCCGTCGGAAACACCCACACGCCGGACTGCGCCGGCTGCGGCGCCGCACAAACGGCACAGTCGCAGGACCAGGTGCCTGGACCAGACGGCACAGTCACACCAGCACCAGCCGTACCGATGTCCACAGACGGACAACATACAGCTGTACCGGCTGAACCAGCAGCACCATTACTGCGTCTGCCAGTGACGCAAAGGACTGACGTGCCTGGGTGTCCGCCTGAGGAGGCTGAGGCCGCGAATCTCGCTCCATCTCAGGCCGCGGCTGAACCGCCTGACGAACCGGCGATAGCAGCGATACCGACCCCGTGCCCTATCCCGGCTTGCAGGTCACGTATCCCGCGGCCCACGTCACCACTGTCCCTCCGTGGCCTGGCGCCACCCAACGAATGACTACCTAGTCCGAGTCCCCATTCGAGTGCGCCCAGGTCCCGGATCCCAGTGTCTGTAGGACAACCATCTTCGAAAGGTCATCGCGAACAGCGGAGCGCGCTAGTCAAACGGTCTCCAGATCGACGTAACGCGTGACTGCGATAGCTGGGTGCATAACAACGATTTATTGTGCGTTTGTGTTGCGTTGCTATGTTGTGTAGGTTAGTTACAATGACGTGACGAATATGGGTTAAGGGCCTTTCTTTCTGTGCACGTTAAGTTATGTTCGTGAGATATTTGTTCATGATGCCATGGATTTGTTTATTATGTCATGAATTAGTAATTTCAGTATGAGGGTATTCTTTTTTAGAAGAGTGGAGTGTAAGGTGTCAGAGAACACCCCTGTGTTAGCCAGTGAATGTTTGCGTAGTCTGGCAAGCGCCGTTTAGAGGCGCTCGTGTTCCCATTCTCCCACGCACCCCGTGCGAGGGACGCAGCCGTGGGGGTCCGGAGGTAGTAACAAGCAGGGGGTTCTGGGGGCCGTCGGCGAGAGGGCGAACGTGCCGGCGGGACGGACTGTGATGAGTGCCTGTGGCGAGTGTCAAATACAGAAGTGACTTTGGACGTACCGTGTGTACAAGTGAGCCGGAGGCGAGACATCGGGACACCACAACTTGCATACATATTCGGGTCCATGTTCGGGATTCGGCGGACCTCTCAGATTTACCTGAAATTCTGCACGCAATGTTTGCAAGAATCTCCCATGCCAGTGGCAAGAGTAAAATGGCACTGAAGAGGAAAACAGTCAAAAGTAATACGAAATGTTAAAAATAGTAATGATAGAAATAGTAGTAATAAATAGTAACAATAGAAATAATAATAGCGAAAATGCCTGCTTTCTAGGGCCTAAGAGTCATCTAAGCCAGTCCTCCCTCGATTCTGGACTGCGTATTTTTTTCATTCAGATCCTGAGATCGACAGTCATCCTAAGAATGGATCAGTTTTGAGAGACTTTTATGTGTTTTTGGGTGGGTGTTTCTGTATGAACTATGAAGGAGACCTCAAAACTTTAATTTCAAAGTGGTGAAGCTGTAGTCATCATTGTTATGCAACCATAAGATGACCATTCACGTTGAGTATGTATGCACGCTTGCTTCATTACAAAAATGTTGTCCAACCCCCATTGTTATGGGAACATTGAATCTTGTAATTACCATGCAATATGAGTACTTCTCAACAACAAACATGATCCTGGTCGCTGAGAACAGAGAGCAGCGCAGGAAACATCTTGTTTTAGATGGAAACAGTATCTGGGGCAGTATAAAGTAAGGTGAATTAAAATGCATGTACCTGATGTACCACATGATGAAGCATCAACAAAGCTTTGTATGTTCTCTGGGTGCTTGACCGCAATGGCTCATGATGCCTGACCTACCACCCCAATGGAGAGTCTCTACAGCCCAACATGTTTTCTTGTCACAGGTTAAAAGCTGCACTTCACACCATATAATGAGTCAACCAAGCAAGTTTGTTTGGTGGTGTATTGCAGTACTGTATCATAAAATGCAAAAGTACTGTGTTACAATTTGCACATTTCATCTGCAGAGAACTACACAGTTCACAGCAAAACTCGCAAATATATACCATAAATGTTAGTCCTTGCCAATAAAACCAACTGCTAAAACGAGACATGGCAATTTTACATCAGTCCTCCTCATGAGACAGCATGCTCAGTCACAACATAAGCTGGAAGTGCCACCAAGGACACACCAGTGGTTGACAATGTGGTGAAGTCATATAGTTTCTGATGGTGTTCGAACCCTGCGACGAGCCCCCACGTATCAGCAGGTGGTTCACGCTGTTTGTGTGAGGTCACAAGGACAGTGCCTCAGAACTGTACAGCTGCACCCGTGTGTATGTGAGGTCACCCACACCCACACACACTACAGGCACTGTTCACATGTTGACCCGCAAGAACAGCGCCCACCGCTGCCAAAGTCAGGACACGAAGCATCCATGAAGCGAGTCTCTCGGATTGGAGATTGCACACATGAACCAGAAATGAGTTCGAGCACGCCGCCTGCGTGTCGTCGGTGGCGCGGGGCTGGTCTACAGCACGAGCGGGCCGGCGCGGTCGCGTCGACGCCGGAGATCACATCTTGGGCAGCTTGAATGAGCGCGCGAACAGCGCCGCCACCGCCTTCGTGCTGTCACCGCCGCACCTCCTCAGCTCTTCGAACGCCTGCAATGACCAGGGAACGTGGTAAACTAGGGCACGCCATTGATAGGTATCCAAGGTTTCCGTCCAACCGGTTCTAGTTCTATCACGGACAGGTGAGATACAAACCAAGACAAAGGGTTATGCCCAACCATGGCACGTCTGGCCGTCATAGCTGGAAAAGTGGTACGTGTGGGCGTTCGCCGACCCAAATAACTATTGCGCAACAGACATGTCAGTGCAAAATGGTCTCGACGCCGACGCGCTTTACACCGCAAACTACCACCAGCTAACGACTTAAATAACGGCTGGGAACGTCGATGCCTGCCTCGAGGTGGGCAGGGCTTCCACCAATCACAACACATGTCGCGTTACATCCATTACACCTTCACCAGCGTTTGCATTGGGCAATTCGTGATCGAACCAAGTGACGCTTGCTACTTCAGATCCTGGCAACACCGTGCAGGAGCCCCAACGAAAACAATCATCTCAATCTGCCGCGCGCGTGCTCACAAGTTACCGGCCGCTCAGCACGCGAGACAGAACTACCCAGACAACAGCTGGCCAACTCCGGCGGCGGCACACACCAGCACCCCAGGCCCGCGCCTTCGACTGCCCCGGCCGAGGGCGTGCCCCGCCCACCTGAGACCGGAGGAAGCCGGCGTTGATGATCATCTGCACGTCCCTCTCGGTGAACCTGTCGGATGGCTGGACGGAGAGCGAGGCGCCCGAGGACTCCCCGGAGGGTGCGGCAGTGGCGGAAGACGCCGCTGCAGCACGCGCTCGCGCTGCAGCAGACGCCGCTGCAGCAGGCGCTTGCGCTGCAGCGGACGCGAATGGGAAACCAATCAATGGAAACTCAGAAGCGCTGAGCCATGGGTCGGCTGGTACACATACCACTTAGAGATGTCTACGGTTGATTTCTGGCATCACCAACAAGCGTTTTGTGCTGCAAAGTACCATCAAGTCTGCCACAACACGCCATTGTTCTACCAGTCCCTCAAAATGCACACGTCTAAACGGCCCGACCCGACCGTGCAGCCCTGCCGCGCCCATCCCTGCACGCGGGAAGACCGTACCCGCCACAGACGCGGCGGCAGCGGCGGCAGCGGCAGCGGTAGCGGTCGGGCTTGGGCCGGCGGCCGCGGCGGCTGAAGCGGCGCTGGCGCTCTCCTGCAGGGCGCGCGCCAAGTCTGCGTCCTCCGCGTCACGCACAGAGTCGGCCGTCGCCTCTTCCTCCGTCCTGCGTCGCAGCGGGTGGCGTCAGGCGGGTGGGGCGGTATCGCCGGGGCCCGGAGCGGCGAGAGGCACGGCGCAGTGCGGAGCGCTGACGCAAATGAGCACCTCGGCGCACCTAAAACCTTGATGGGCATTCCTCACCGCCAGCACCCAATGATCTTTTAAAACAGTCGAGTAAATAACTGTAGACACGTTCTCTGCTCGCAGCTCGCAAGCATGTAGCTCAGCATGCCTGCGGGGCTTAAGACACCTGCATTCTGCCATGTGACCCTGCACAAGGGAACTGTTATACACGACCCGCGCACTGCGGCGCGTCTCGAGTGCGCCGCGGAGTGGCGGCCGCAGCTGACCTGTTACTGAGGCGGGCGCAGGCTGGCAGCTCCGACTCCGGCAGGAAGGGGGTACTGCTGGACGTGGTGCCGATGTGCAGCACGTTGTTCTTCAGGTCAATCACGCACTGCCGACGAGAGGTGTACGGGTCATGTGGGATCAAGGTTGAAGTGCTCGATGGAATTTGCTGGAAGCGGCAGGGGCCCGAAACGGCCACTGGCAGCACAACATGCAATATTTTCGACGACAAAAATGTTGCAAGCGTATTGATCATAATGTGGCGAATTACATGATAAAGGACGCAAGTTTTGGTATTGCTTCCAGAAGGTTCTTCATCTAAGTGATTGCTTCCTCGTTAGCATATCCCTATAACCAGGCATCAGCCTTACCCTCACAGTCGTTACCCTCGCGTGTACAGCCAAATCAAGCAACACCCAGCAACGTCATGGTCATCGTCTATGCTCGAACAACACATCCAAACGACAACGGAAGCTGGCCCCGGCGGCAGCATCACCCCCACCCTTCACCTGATGCCGCTTCAGCATGTCCAGTCCGAGCAGCATGTCCATGGGCTGCTCCTCGAGGATCGAGAACGACGACGTGAGGAACACGTCCTCGATCTGGATCTGGCCCATGTGCACGCGGCCCAGGATGCGCTGCGTGCCGACGCCCTTGGCGATGCCGCTCCAGCGCGTGTCCACCAGGCGCATGATGTGGCACCGCTCGGCGCACGCCGCCGACATGATGGTCGTCTGCGCGCCTGGAGCCGGGAGCGTGGGTCACGCGGCAGCGCTGGGGACGGTCGCCACTGACGCGGCGTTGGCCGGTGACGGGGATACCGACCGGCCGGCCTCAGCCGGGAGCTGGCAGACAGCCGGGAGTTGACTGACAGCCGGGAGTTGACTGACAGCCGGAAGTTGACTGCACAGCCGGGAGTTGACTGACATCCAGGAGTTGACTGACAGCCAGGAGTTGACTGACAGCCAGGAGCTGACAGCCAGCGGGAGTTGACTGACAGCCGGGAGTTGACTGACAGCCGGGAGTTGACTGACAGCCGGGAGCTGACTGACAGCCGGGAGTTGACAGACAACTGCGAGTTGACTGACAGCCGGGAGTTGACTGACAGCTGGGAGCTGACAGCCAGAGGGAGTTGACTGACAGCCGGGAGTTGCCAGACATCCAGGATTGACAGACAGCCTGAGTTGGCAGGCAGACGATAATAACGTTTGGCGGGAGTGATTGGCGCAGGTGTTCGACGGACATTGAACAGTCACCCAGGGAACAGGGTCAAGCGGTGAAGCGGCAGTCAAAATACCCAAACCAACATCCACCTTCAGCAATCCAACTCTACCAAGCACATCCAGAGCGTGCAAGGACGCAGCCAAAGTGAACTCGCGGCTATCCAAAGTGAAAAATAACCACTAACAAGCACTCTTAGCACGTCACCAACAAACAGTGTTCGTTCGCAAAGAAGGCTCTGAATTCCTCCTCTGTTTCCCTTAGAAAGAGATTCCTCCCACCGACCCGTCACAAATAAGAGCTTTCAGGTTACAGCCAAGTCTGAGTTAAGTTCTCTACCCCTATCAGTTCTCCCCCCCCCCTCAAGTCTCACCCCCACCTGAATGTCTCCATCAGTTCTCCCCTCCTCTCGAGTCTCGCCCCCACCTGAATGTCTCCATCAGTTCTCCCCTTCTCTCCGGTCTCCCCCCATCCCCACACCTGAATGTCTCCATCAGTTCTGTCCTCTCCGGTCTCGCCCCCACCTGAATCGATGAAAGCCTTGACCGGGTGTCCGTTGACGGTGCAGTTGATGTAGAGCATGATGACCGACCCGAAGCTTTCGGGGTTGTGCTCCATGGCCGCCTCCATGTTGGCGTCGATGTTCTTCTGCTTGATCTCCTCGGCCATCAGGCGCTGCGCCTCCACGTCGAAGGGGTCGGCATTCAGCATGCGCAGCCGCATTCGCTCGCGCTCCGAGCGGGCCTCCTGCTGCTCGCGCAGCACCGCCGCGAACTGATCTGCGACGCACGTGCCGGGAAGGCACGGGTCACAAGGCGCTCCGGACAGTCTGCACTGCGCGAGCGTGCGGTGAGCAACACGCACAAATGTCGCAAAAAGGCCCGATGAAGAGCACCTTCGTCCAATATCGTCCATAGGACGCTCGGATGACTCTGAGCACCTATCGCGTTGACAAACACCCCGAATGCAGTGTTGCGGCTTATGCATGACATTATCTTCTCGGAACATAAAACATGTTCATATTTATGTAGAACATTTTTAGAACGTAAAGCTTGCAAACTCTTCTGAACATGGTGGCTTGGGCCCCCTTTAGGTGACGGAACAACGCAAACAATGAGAATGAGGGGAGGGGCATTATCCCCCAACCCAACGAGCTACAAAGCTGTGCGCATGCCTACCGGAGCGCTGCGCCGCAGTCATAACCCGCCTCCAGGCTGCACTGACCAACATCGCCGCTGAGCAGAGCCTCAGCCAGGCGCGGGTTGTTCTGCTTCAGCATGGCCAGCTGGTCCGGGTTGGCCAGGAACATCTCGCGGATGAAGGAGGGGTCGTCCTCGCGCGCCGGCGCCGCCGGCCGCCCGCCCGGCGCCGGCACCGGCGGCACGCGGATGCTGCCGAAGTCGATCTGCGCCACTGCCGGGGTCACGAGAGGTCAGGCGGCGTCACGTGGGGTCAACGGCACCTTTGAGTGGCCTGTTCGTGGGGCCGATCCTGATGTTTGATGTGTGGGCATAAGTCTCATAGGGAATGCCGTATTCCAACAAACGGGATAGAAGAGGACAAACAGATTACTGGCAGTCATTCAATGCAAGGACGTAACGAATAATCGTACCACGTACGAATCGTCACAAGCAGATGTAAAATAAATAGGCCCCATTAAAACGCGATTACCATACGCTGTACCGCCGTTGGGTATCGAGTTAGCAGCTGTCAGAATTTCAGTGCTGGCAAGGTACGTTAAGAGCTAAGGGTCGCTCCACATTACAATACTACGCACGAAAAACCATGCAACGTAACACCTACTCGCCCAATCACTAACGAGCGTACAGGTGATAATTACGCGTCGATGACAAATATGCCGCCTGGTTTGAGTACTGAATGCACTTCGAAAACATTGCAAAAGGCCCCAGACTGATACGATCGATCATGGCCGGGTGAGTTCTACAAAGGAGCGCTAACGTGTCAGGAGGACAAGGCGTTCTGTCAACGTCTCGCCCCAGCGTGGGCATTATGGTCTCCCTTCTTCAAAGAACGGGTAATGACGAGAAGAAGCCCACGCATGTGCGTGGCGGAAGTGATGCATCGTGATCTTGTCCCGTCGCGGTCAGCGCACGCCTGTCAGGTCATGGTTCCCAAGCGGCTTTACAACTCTAAACTTGCTCATGACGACCATACCATGCAATGTATTAGAAAATTCCAGCGGAGTGATCACAGCCAGGAAGGTATATCGAGCGCGTTTAGTTCACCTTCGCCCTATGCTTCACCTCAGCCAAGCGTGTGGTGAGACACCGTTTCGCCATTAAGCAGCTCGTGCCTGGGTGGGTTCGAGTCGAGAGTCGGGTCGAGAGCACTCTGACTGGTCCCTACCTGACTCGCCGGTCTCAACTAAGATGGCCTGAGGTCGCTGGGAGTGGCTGCGCCAAATGTCAGATGACGTGACTAGTCTCTACTTGACCGGCCGATCCTGACTGGAATGGCCTGTGGTCGCTGGGAGTGACTGCGCCAAATGCCAGATGACGTCAGAGGGCAGGACTGAACGTGCTAAGGTTTTCAGCACGTCACTGTTTCCAAAAACTGTGCCACTGGCAAGAAATTCAACGTTCGGAGCGGTAGGGTCGGGCTCGCATAACAACCACTGAAAAGCCCGGCCGTTATCCTGAAAATCCATCGAATCAAAAGGTCTAGACTAAATCTTGGAAGACTAAAACCCACACACGCCGTTTTTCTACCTACGATGTTAAGTCAATTCGATTCGCCAGTGACGCCGGCTACTCACGCTGTTCGGCGACCGACGGCTGCGTGGCCCGCACCCGGGGCGCGTCTACAAACAGGACATCGTTCTCCCGGATGCCGAGGTCCTTCAGCGTCTTCTTGTCGTCGGTCAGGCGCCGTCCCTCGTGCACGAGCTGCATCCCCTCCAGGGCGATGTTGGCTTCCACCTGCATGGCGGGCAAGCAACATTTGCATTGTGGATCGTTCTATCTTGCAAACCAAACATGCTCGAATATTCAATCTAAAAAATAAATTCTCAGAGACATTTTCCGAATATCTTTTTCCATCAACATTGCATAAATGAAATGAAATGTCCAATCCAATGAAGCACCAGGCTGCATATGCTGTCACAATGCACTGCTTCTTCACTTGCATCACTGTCCACATAAATACACAAAAGGAAATGGTGCCAGCCTCCTACAAAACCCCCTTAACTCATAACCTGACAGTATATTGTAGCACAAAAAGAGCCAGTGATTGGTAAAACAAAATATATAGAACAAACCCTCAGTTATTGCAAGCTCTTAAGCATGTAGCTTAAAAAAAAACTAGGTGCTGGCTATTGTGTGGCCTAAATCTCAATGGGGCATGAAATTGGTGTAAAACTAAAGCTGATGTCCAGTGATCTTTTTTGTCAAATATCTTAGAAAGAATAACCTATGTGACATAATGGTGGTTCCTTGTAAGCCTGTCTCAAAAGCATGTCATTTTCAACAGTGGTTATCAAGAATTGGCAGTCAGCTCATGAACAGTGATGATGCCTAAGTCACATACAGGGGCATCACCAGTGGTGTAGGTGGCTACTGCCCCCTCCTCTCCCATCCACTGGCCCTGCCTGGAGCCACTGATGATCTTTTTGCTATAATTGTTTGACAAACCAGATTAACAGGATTGCTCCATGGGCTTCAGTTACTTCCCACCACCCAAGAGTTGGCATGCTCCACCTGGCATCAAATTCTGATGGTACCACCAGCCACATACCTGTACAAAGGCCCGCAAATTCTCCAGTTCCAAGTCATCGCTGACATCCAGCTGGTACAGCTCCCCTGAGGCTGTTGTGACCGTCAAACGCATCTTGGTTTCTCACTGTAAAATTGAACAGGGTTATCTTCAAACTAGGATTGTGACAATGACTTGGCTGGTTTACGAAATTACATTGTGGTAGATATTCAGAGTTGTATGGTAGACTCAGAGTCCATATCTCCTCCCAACAAGTTAAATACAGTTTCACTGTCTACTTAAGTCATTAGAGACACTTCTGCTCCATTGGTGCCACTCAACTTAGACCACTGTAGTCCTGCCTTGAGTTTTAATGCACACTGCTTTTTTCCCATCACTGTAAACACAGATCATTGCAAATAAGCCATATCAGTCCCATTCAATCACAGACTATAGCTAGCCTTCACTGTATTCTTAATCCCAAACATGGTTCACAGACAATGCCAGTTAATTTTTACACCCAAATATGGGTACTGGTGCCTTGCTTGTAAAAATACTCCAAGTCATATTTAAGGTACACTCCACAAAATATGGCAAGTACTAGACTGTTATGATCAGTAGATGGAATGAGCCACATGGGCTAATTTGAACCTGAAAATGCTAACCAAGAAACTTTTCTGCATGTGGAATTTTGTTGCAACCATAGATGGCAGGTAACTGAAATTGGTACACAACTACAAGCAAGCCTGCTGGCCAAGTGAGTATTAACTGAACTTTGAACAATTTTTTAATTGGGTCATCATACCATGCACAGTTGCCATGATTTTCAAATTTAACAGTTTTACAACCACTGCATGCAATTTATGCAGTTTCAAGTGGCACCAAGCCTAATTCTGGGCAACTAGCATATTACATTATTAGTTATTTGCATGTAAGCTGTCTGATCAGGCCAATATTTCTGAAACACTGAATAATCATTACAATGTGATATTTCCATATTACTAATACAAAAACATAGGATTTCCAATTCACCAAGAGCTTAACACTATGGATTGAACCAATGTCACAGATCTTGATAGCACAGCTTCACAGTGACAGAGAATAGCATATTCTAAATAGAAAAATGGAGCATTGCATCAACAATGTGACTGTGTGTGCACAGTCAATAACACACTTTCATGTGCAAACTATGGATCCACCCATTTTTGACTGTTTTTTAATGCATGCCAGGTATCAGTTACCAGGACAGATGAAGACACCTGCAAACCACCAATGTACCTCAAAATGGGCTGTGTTTTCAGCAGAAATCAAAAGCAAAGTACCAGTGTCAGATGTACTGGAAGTTATCTGAATAAACACTGACACTGTGACTGCCTACAACACAAAATGAGGAAAGGATGTAAAAGGTCTCAAGCCATGAAACAGCTTAAGCATTTATGCAACGATAATGCATTTTCTTAAACAATGGTCGTGCAGCAATTGTGCAGTACCCAATCCTGCACAGCATATTAAAATATGTGCATTCCTATCTGAAAAACATATCAAGCAAAATGATCTGATAAACTGGTTCAGCCATCTCAGGCTCTGGGTACCTGACTTTTTCCCTTTGTAAACTGTGCCTATTTGCAGAATAACTTCCTGGAACGGAGAATGTTATGAATTAAGCATGTGGCTCTAATACTGTAATATCAGCCCTAAAATGAGCATTTGCCACCAGGGGAAGCAAGCCATATTATCCACACATAAAAAAGACAAAGAAAGGAGACAAACATACGAACAGCGCCGTAAAGGGTATGTGACGACCCAGTACGTAGCGAAGACACGCTATTTACAAGAGGTTAACAAAGCTACGCCGGTTTCCGAAACCATTCATAGGTCTCATGGCCTCAACACTTCAGGGCACATTGGATATCACTACCCATTTGATATATCACATATTCAGTGGGAGCAACCCACAGTGTTCCTTCCGTAACCGAACAAAGAGCCTCACCTATACCTGCGGACAAACACGCACGTACCTCGGGACCGCTCTGCCAGGCGTGGTGACCTTCGCCGTTTAAAGATACTTTGTTTACAGGCGCTCCATGCTTGTAACGATTGTGGACTATCGACCCTAGCGTGCTTTAGATATTTCACAAAATCTATGGAGAACTGAGCTTTGAATTGAAAAAAGCATTAATTGAATCTAAATTGTTATTATGTAATAGTTTTGCCTTCTGGGAGAATAAATGGGCACTTGTGGCACAAGCTGGCTAAGATAACCCTCTTGATGACTGCAGGTCAGAAAGGCATAAACGGCGCAGGATGACACACAGAAACCTCCGCAGGACAAGGGGAAGGCGGGCAGTGGATCACAATAAACGAAAATATACCGGCCCCGGCGAGAGCGCTTGCAGTTATTCCTTCATTTCAACCAACGGTTTTGTAGCAGACACTGGTGAGGACATTGTTCACGTACCTACCTATGCCTGTAATGATCGAAAATGGCCCTTTCGTGTACGTGAGAACTTTTTACGAATCGTGAGGCTTCCGGTGCAACACTGATATATCTCGATCTTGATCTCCTGCCTTCATAGATTGAGCGGTGTTCGCTTGAAATGTGTATTTAGTGATGGTACCAATAGATTACAGTGTGCATTTATCAATGTTGAATATTAAGGGCCTTGGATGCGGAGGGAGTGCTCTCATGCCAGACTTCGGGAAATATGTGTCACGCCAGAGACATCCAGGGTAGCAATGACATTGCTGCAGCACTCTGGGAATGTTATGCTGTCAGTCAGGGTGCTCAGAGTCTGTTGCATGGTCACTACCATTTTCGGTGCATTGAGGCTCAATGTTTCTATCAAATATCATGCTGTATAGGTAATTTCAAGTAATTATAGACCACCAACACTTTTCACAATGATGAAGGTTTGGTGTGCTATTTTATGTGCATCCAGGGAAGTGGATGAATTTTCTGCAAGAATTGTACCTGGCACCCTGCTTACCATGATGCATCCCATCTGGCTGTTTTGTAATGTTGGTATTTGACTCCCTATTTTCTTCTGCAGATTTAATAGCCTAGCCCACATCACAATTAATCATGCCTGATCATCTTGGGGGTGATATGCGCAAGGTGAAAGATGTAACAGAAGAGGAAGAAAAGGAATTTAAAAGTAAGTAAATTTGTTATGTTTGTCCTTGCATACAAGGCTGTTTGCATGGACAGATTAATAGTTAATAGATATGGCAAGATATATTGAGTTTTGCCCTGTTCTATATGCATAATATGATCAATTACTACTATTCCTTTGTCAATATACAATATTTATAGGTGATCAGTTTTGGTGTCTAGTGTTTGTACATGGTACAGTAAGGTAGCACCTTAATAACCCTTTTTTTAAAGAAAAGCACCTTTTGATTATTATTTTGATATTAAGACCATGTTTTGATTGGATATTTTGTCTTTCAGCATTGGATGAAGGTGACATTGCCCTGCTCAAGTCATATGTGAGTATTCATTTGCCACTGCATACCTTTGCATGTGTGATGTTCCATGCAAGAATATGTGCAATATGCCATGAAACACAAATGTTGAAAATCAGGTTCATAGAGGCATAGCTCTGTCTGGTAGGTAACCCTCTTGTGTTTACAGAGTGTAAAGTGAAGCACTTCATGGTACCAGAAATATTGCTACAAACTATTGATTGTGTCTGCAAGAAAGCATCCTGGCGCAATTATATAGCCAGGCTGTTTCAAAACCATGCTAGTAGCCTGGTTTTGCAAGTGAAGCTGTGAGGGTATGGCAGGAATAATGTCTGCACCTTCCCAAAATACACAGAAATGGGTTTCTTCCCAAATTTAGCTCATGCTTGTTTACTCTTCCAGTGAATGGGAACTACCTCCTGGTTACAGCTGCTGTTGACATATTAACATGACAGTCATTATTCCCACCCATCAGGGCCAAGGCCAGTACAGCAAGTCCATAAAGACAATTGAGGGGGACATCACTGACATCAGCAAGCGGGTCAATGAGCTGACCGGCATCAAGGAGTCAGACACAGGTCTGGCAGCGCCTGCCCTCTGGGACCTGGCCGCTGACAAGCAGACCCTCCAGAGTGAGCAGCCACTTCAGGTGAGGCCAGCTGTCAACACATGATTGGCTCTGTGGCTACAGATGTGGTGTGAGGCTTTCCTGCTAAAGGCTATGTGCAGCAGTGGTCTTGTTTGATGTGAAAGCATCAGTGATAGTACTCTGAATCTTACCTTGTGTTTGATTCTGTTTTGGGATGTTTTATGGTCAGGTGAGGTTATGCTGCCTCATGGTTCTGACCTTGTGGTTTGTCACAAATGACTTGCAGTCCTGGAATATTCAAGGAAAACTGTGAAAACAACTAGCACTCAAATCCAGTAGCACTCCTGTGGTCTAAACCTTGAGTATACATCAAGATTCATCCAGATCTAGATTAAATTAAACTAGAATCAGGATTAGGCTCTCATTGCACCAATTGATCAGATATGTGGCATGAAGAAAGCTATGCTATTTGACACCTGGGAGTGCTTCTCCCTGCTGGTTCCCCAACCTCCACTGCACCACCCCCACCCTGCTGGGTCTGCCTTTCACAATACCATCACTCCTTGTGTTCTCTCTGGTCCACGCCCGCTCGTCCCGCTGTCCAGCATCCGATGCGCATCATCCCCCTCGGCGACTGCCCCCTGACCCTTGCCCTACCTCTTGCATCCAACTGTCTCTTCATGACCCCTTGGCCCTGCTCTGCCCCACCTTGACCCCGGTGGTGACCCCGTGCGCGCGGCCCGTCCCAGGTGGCTCGCTGCACCAAGATCATCAACGCCGACAGCGACGAGCCGCGCTACATCATCAACGTCAAGCAGTTCGCCAAGTTCGTGGTGGACCTGGCCGACTCGGTGGCGCCCACCGACATCGAGGAGGGCATGCGGGTGGGGTAAGCTGGTCACGCTCGGCGCGCCTCGTCACGCGCAGACGGTCGCGGGACGCTGTGATGCCGTGCGCGCGTCAGCGCCCGGCGGCCGCCCCGCTGCCGGGAGTCCAGCCCGGGCTCCTCCCGTGGCGCGGAGTTCGCTCTCGCGGGCGAGTGAGCGACCGTCCATGGAGTTAGTGACGGCGAGCGACGTGTGCTCCGTCGTCAGAGACCGGGACGCGTGGAGGACGGCCGACTGGTGTGGTCACGTGACCAGCCTGGTGGGGGCGGCGGCCACGGGCTGTGGTGCCTGACTTCTGCCTGGGGGGAGGGGGGGAGGGGGCAGCGGAGAGTTTGGATGCCGGCTGGGCTGCGGGCCCTACGACACGCCGGGCTGGGGAGGCGGCTTTTAAGCATTAGTTTGTTTTGGAATGGCGAGACATATTCCGCGATATGTGATGATTGTTAACGTGCAAACAAGGGCGTGCCAGTAGCGATGGTTCGATCCACGGACTTTTTAGAAAAACGAACGTCTGCGGTGAGACTTGAACCCGCCTCGTGCCGTGGTGGTACGGCATGCCCATGGCGTGTAATATGAGCTTTCGAGACGAGACCGCTACTTGAACCACCGCACCAGTCATCCCTACTTCACCAGCGTGCTCGCTCTGTATTGGTGCATCGAGATATGGCTGCTCCCTGCAATCGCTACCTGTCGTGTCTTCTTCCGTAATGGCTAAGCAGTGGCAATATCATCCTATGGATGTTTATCTACTCTGCCTTTACCGCTCGTCTCGCTTTGACTAACGATGCTGGCCGTGTCGGCAGGGTGGACCGCAACAAGTACCAGATCCACATCCCGCTGCCGCCCAAGATCGACCCGACCGTGACCATGATGCAGGTGGAGGAGAAGCCGGACGTGACGTACAGCGACGTGGGCGGCTGCAAGGAGCAGATCGACAAGCTGCGGGAGGTGGTGGAGACGCCGCTGCTGCATGTCAGTACAGCGGGGGCTCCGGGGGCGGGTTGGGCATGGCGAGGGCGCGAACTTGTGGAACAGGGGAACACAGAGAACTTGTGGAACAACATCACTTACATCATGCTCATCCTCGTCAATTAGCTGGAGGTGAAGCATAAAGCAGCCTGGAAACAATAATTTCGCTGGAGGTAAATGGGCGGGAGTGCATTAGCGATTCTAATCCTCGGTTCCATTATCTCCATTGCGAAACAAACAGCACTGACCGTGTGGCCAGCGCCACCAGCCACCTCTGACGGCTGCCGCGACCCACAGCCGGAGCGGTTCGTCAACCTGGGCATCGAGCCGCCCAAGGGCGTGCTGCTGTTCGGACCGCCCGGCACCGGCAAGACGCTGTGCGCGCGCGCCGTGGCCAACCGCACCGACGCCTGCTTCATCCGCGTCATCGGCTCCGAGCTCGTGCAGAAATACGTCGGCGAGGTGGGCGCGGTGTTGGAGGGGAAGGGGGCTCTGGTGGGGAAGGCTAAAACTGGTTTTGTCACCAGGATTGTGAGTTCTAAAATGCGAAAAATAGTGCAAAAGTGTGTGAATTGTGGCAGTTTGGTTTTCCACTTTCTTACCAGCTTTACATTCAGTTATGATCCGTAAGATTGGCAAATGATGGGCGGTTTTTTATTGGCAGTGACAAAGTATGCCTTCAGGTGCTGTACTGTACATAAAATAAGACAGTAGGTCAATGACCTGACATATATGACGTCACTAGCGAGAGGCGCATACCATGTGTGTGAATATTGTGACAGTGTAGTGGTGAGGTACTCTGGAAAAAGTGTAGAAAACGCATCTCCACGTTTGTGTGTGTGTTGTCTGAACTTCCACGTGTCCTGTGGAATGGCAGCTATCAGCTGTATGGCGGACACGTCTGATACGGTCCGGACGGTCACCAGCTCGCCAGTGTGGCCCACTGGTGGTGGGGTCCACAGCAAGCGTCATTGCCTCCGCTCGCGTCCGCAGGGTGCTCGGATGGTGCGCGAGCTATTCGAGATGGCGCGCACCAAGAAGGCCTGCTTGATCTTCTTCGATGAGATTGACGCCATCGGCGGTGCGCGGTTCGACGACGGCGCCGGTGGCGACAATGAAGTGCAGCGGACCATGCTCGAACTAATCAACCAGCTGGACGGCTTCGATCCGCGTGGTAACATCAAGGTTAGCGCGTTATTATCAAGACACACCCCCTCCACTGGGCATGGTGCAAGTGAGAAAGGATTGGAAATAATTGTGTGTATGAGACTAATGCTGCTTACTAGATGTTCTTACCTGACATTAACAGGATGAGACATTGGTTTATGATGCTTTGGTTGGAAAAATAGCCTGAGCAGTCAGTGCAGTCTTGGATATAAATGATTGACATCTGGGTCTAGTTGTGGCCTGCCTGACATGTTACGTGACGCGCTTGACCTATGGAATTAGGTGCAGATGGCTGCCGACCGGCCAGACATGTTAATCCCATATCAAAATGGTATCAAAACAGGTTCTGATCTGACGTGATCTGACCTGACCCGACCTGACCTGGGTTTCCAGGTGCTGATGGCCACTAACCGGCCGGACACGCTTGACCCGGCGCTGATGCGGCCGGGCCGGCTGGACCGCAAGGTCGAGTTCGGCCTGCCCGACCTCGAGGGCCGCACGCACATCTTCAAGATCCACGCCCGCTCCATGTCCGTGGAGAAGGACATCCGATACGAACTGCTGGCTCGGCTCTGCCCCAACAGCACAGGTGGGAACCTCTGCCCCAAGCGGCAGCGCTGGTAAAACCTCTCTCCCAGCCCAAAACCTGCCTCGCTGGGCTTTCGTTGCGTAATGGACGGGCGGTGTTTGATGTAATCGGAGAGGGCGTCGCGGTAGGATGCGTCCCCAAGACTGACTTTGCTCTATCATGAGGTATTTTCATGGTGAATCATGACAGGCACGTCAACCCATATTTCGACACGGCCGCACTGTTACTAGTCGTTCGTCCAACGTTACTAGTAGCCCGTTCAACGGAGCTGAAAACACCTGAGATTTCTTCAGGCTGCCATTATCCGATCTTCTGTTGGCCACGCAAGAGTGCTCACAGACGAACGAACGCCCACGGAGCGTTCGTGATGGGGATGGATTTCTGGCATGTTCTCGCTAGTATTGGTGCTGATAGAATCGGCCGGACAGTTCCTGGCATCCAACCACCATTGGGACGAACCCTCGCCTGACCACTTCCGCCCCTCTCGTTCTTATCGGCCGCTGTCCCCCGCCGCTATCGCCCTTGCCGCTCCCCGGGCCGGCCGCCCGTTCCCCGGGCCGGGCCGGCCGCCGCCCGCGGTCTCGCTGCGGGACGCTGACCTGAACGTGCCATCCCCCAGGCGCCGAGATCCGCTCCGTCTGCACCGAGGCCGGCATGTTCGCCATCAGGGCGCGCAGGAAGGTGGCCAGCGAGAAGGACTTCCTCGACGCCGTCAACAAGGTCATCAAGTCGTACGCCAAGTTCAGCGCCACCCCCAAGTACATGACGTACAACTAGGCCGGAGGACGGTGGTGGCCGTGTTTTATGTAACTATTGCACCCGCTCCCCTCTCATTGAAAAGGTAATACATGTGTTCCGAGAGTCGATGTTGGTTTCTTTCGTGGTACGTGATGTGAGGCGGAATCTGGAAGCTGGGTTTGGAACGGAGCATTCCTGACGGAGCAGTATGACGAGGCGCGGAAATCGGTGTGAGTCGGACTGGTGGCGTTGTGCACTAGCTCATGTATCGAACATTTCTAAATTGGTTTGGTAAGTCACAAACTGCAAATCCCTGGGGAGTGACGCTGGTGCACACTAGCAGTGGTGTTCTAAATGCCGGAAGGTTCTAGACAAGGAATACGCTGTGAGGAGAGGTGCACACTCCTACCAGCTGCCGAACATCCAGGCGACCGTTTGGGCATGATTGGGCATTCAGTAGCGTTGGAACGATAAAGCCAGCAATGCCGGTTTCTTCCGCGTCTGTTGTGTTTGCTTCTCTGGAACCGATCCTCGCGATGTTCAGCGACAGCTGGGCGTCACTGGCTCCGAGGTAAGGTAGCTGACATTTTGTCTTTGCTTCCTACGTATTTCAAAGAAGTTGCCCCCATTCTCTAGACTCTATAACCAGGGGTGTAGCTTCTCAAAATGAAGGATGTGGGCAGTGAAAAAAAAATGGCAAAACCTGCCTACAAAATGCGCACAAAACGGCTATCTCCTCGGATTTTGCCCACTTTTTCTGTCAAAGTTCAGGGGGCTGGATCCCGCCCCTCTCCCTTGCTAAGTAAGAAACTATCCTCACTGATCTTTCCTTTGAGAACTAGTCCTTGTCACTGCATCACTGGCCAAAACACAATAAGCAAAACGCGCTGTGACCTTAGCGGGGAGTAATGGCGTGGCCCAAGCATAACAAGAGGAGGGGCTGCTGGTCAACGTGACGTAAGACTCGGGTGTCGTTTCAAATAGTCCCGCTTTCGTGAAGTCTGTCCAAGCCTTACAACCGGATACCGTAGGCTCGTGACAACAGCACGCTCCCGTCTTTGTTTCGCACCCCTGGCTCAGCACTGGGAGCAGCGTTTTATCAGAAGGGAAGGGGAACATTTTCAAAAAAGCGCACTTTACATGGACAGACCAATGTTGGTGCTTTGCTTGCCTGGTTATGGGAGTGATGAGCGCGCCATCCCCAATTCTTTACAGCGGATCTCAACCATAGATCAGTTAGCGGATCTTACGGAGCCTTTCCGTAAGATCCGCGTTTGGATGCGGCATGGACTGCCGTTTTGTATGCATGTTGTAAATGTATGTATATGGTTCAAACCATTTCTTTAGAGCAGTTATCGATGGAATCAGCTGATTCAAATGCGTTTATCTGAGAGTAGACTCTATCTGTTTTGTACATTTTGCCGTTCGCAGTCGCGGCGCCATGGCTTAGTTGGTTAAAGCGCCTGTCTAGTAAACAGGAGATCCCGAGTTCGAATCTCGGTGGTGCCTCTTTTCTGCTCTTGGAGATGATACACGCTGTGTAGGTACCTCTGCACATCAGCTCTCAGAGCGTTGCTTTTCACTTAGATGCTCAGTGGGTATGCCATCATTACTTGAGTTAGTTGAAATTATCATCTGGAAAACATTTCAGAAGGCGTTATTCGTTACCTTTTCCGCCGTAATCTTTGTGGCGCCAGGGTGACATCGTGGAGAGAGGTGCCGTCTTCTAGAAGTTTCTGTCCAAAGATCAATCTAAACTTCAGGGGCGAACCAGTCTTCCGTCCCAAAATTTCCAAGCTCTGTATATGAAATCACTAGTTGCAACCAATAATCCCAGTGACTACTCGCGTCCAGTGGCGGATCCAGAGAGGGCCACGTGGTCATGCCCCCCTCCTCTTGGACTCCGAAGGGGTCCACGGGACCCGAAAGGGCCCATAGCCCATAGTCCTAAATAGACGCAGTTCTTACCACAAAACGCAACAAACTTAGACGTCCTTGGGTTTCCAGGCTTCCGAGAACAGCTGCAGGTGAAAGTGAAGGGCCCACGAGCAGGCGAAAATAGTTATTTACTGATTGAGAGGGTGGTGATTGAGAGAAATTACGGCTCATCACGCTGTCCAGAGGCCATTTCGCTGTTCCCGAGGGCCCTATATGTGAACTTTCAGGGGCAATCCAATCGCTAAGGAGCCTTCCATGTTGCCGTTGATTTCTTAGCATTTGCTTGGATGGCCCTGCGCTGTTGCCGGTGCCCTTTCTGCTACCATGCCAGGGCACTCTTGTCAGTCAGGGGCCTTCCACGGGTTCTCCCAATTCGCCCGAAAGGCTCTATAAGCTATAGTTGGGGGCCCCCATATGTTAACCTGCTGGGGCATTCCCGGTTTCTCAGGAGCCCTTCTGGTCTCGGTTAACCTACCGACGCACTCGCGATATGCTCACGGGCCGTCTACACTGGTCTAGGGTGCTTCCCATTCCCTGCCACCTGCGGAAGGCCCTACGTTTTTGTCGGGTACCTTATCTCTTAACCTCCTCGAGTACACTCGGGCACACCCACTCGCCCCAACGGGTGTATACGCTGTTAACGGGGCTCATATCCCGGCGAACACTCAGTTGCTCAGGGGCCCCTCATATTGGTCTGGGGCTCTTTCCACTTGTTTGGAGAGCACTGTTGCTGAGGCTCAATAAGGTAACGCACGGAGGCACTCGATGTTCAGGGATCCTCTACATCGATCTACGTCCCTTTCCCTTTGATCTCGTTTGTTGAGGACCCTTCAATCCTGCTGGGACTTTTCCGTTCATCTGCCCGGGCACTTTTGATCGCACAGGGGCATTGATGCATGTGCACTGTGCCTGAGTTTTATTGCCCCAGGCACAGTGTGTACGCATAGCAAAGGGGAATTTAATACATATCATTAAATTTCCCTTTGCTCAGAGAGCCCTGTGCTCTGGCCGGGCTTTATATGTTAGCGTGCCGGGGCGCTCCTCGACCATTCAGGGGTCCGCCATATTGGTCTTAGGTTTTCTCGTTTGCACTGAAGACCCCTCACTGTTGACGTGAGCCTCTTCGTGTACCGGCCGCGGCACGCTCGGTCCCGGAGCCGTCTCTGCTGGTCTTTGGGTTTCCACGTTATCGGAGGGCCCACGCTGTTGGAGGGGATTCAAATCTTAATCAGCCGGGACATTCTTGATCGCTCCGGGACTGACCGCATTGGTCGTGGGCTCTTCCGATGAAGTAAGAATAATTTTTTTGCCGAAGCCCCCCGTGTGCCTGCGAGCGCCAGGACGTTTCGCCTGCTCGTGTGTACTGGCCCGGCTAAACCGATTCATGTACACAAGTCTGAGACTACAGGACGCCGGTTTGCCTCGGCGTCTCAGCTTCAGAGCAGCAGTCGGATATGCGCCGGTGAATATTTACGCGCAACTGCCGAAAATAATTTTACGCGCCGTCGACGTCGTATGTCATTTCCGTTGGTAACTGAGTTTGCGACATTATGCTGGTGTATCACGTTTTTAATACATTTTGAAGACTAGGATATTTTGTACTCAGTCATAACAGTCAAAGGAAAAACTTTGTATTAGTCATCAGCCAATTTCGTTGACAGCACCAACTAACCGGTCAGCTAGCTCGAAGTCGGCAAACCGGAAATAACTCTGGAATCAAGCTTGTACTTCATTTTGTTGGCATTTCGCAGCCACCTTTAGTTCATTCCGTTATGCTGTCTCCAAAATATTTGCCCCCAAGTAACAGGATTCACCAACATGTGAAGAATATGAACAAGCTCCATGTATGTGCAAGCGTAGCAAGCCTAGTTCTCCAGGGCTGCGCACTGTAAGACTAGTTCTTCTACACAAATAGAACATGTAAGAATCTTAAGATTTCATGACCGGAATGACATCATTTTTTGGAGGGGGTCCCATACTCTTAAAGGTACCAACAATGTTGCATGCCGTCCCCCTCCCCCCCCCCCTTCTTACCGAAATCCTGGATCGGTCACTGCTCATGTCGTTGCATTCCCTCACTCGAATCCAAAGAAAAAAGACAATGTTATGGGTAGTAAATGCAAACCAAGGATTTCGTGGAAGAATCTTCAATCCTTTTTTCATATCGATGTCCGCTAAGCTTTACTGTCACTAAGCCTGACGCGGTAGCTTTGTTGTACGGTTAGTGGTAATGAATCGGAACTAGGCAAGTAATGAGCATCACGGGCGTTCCTGAAAAGCTTAACATCGATGCTCTTTCAGTTTATGCCATTTTTATAGAACCTTGCTTGGGTCATGTTTCCATAAAAAGTATTTGTAATGCTTCTTTTATTTAATAAGCATATATGCTCCGTCAACAACTCGGTCATGTTCCAGAATTAAATTATCCTTAAATCAATCAGCATGAAATCAGTTGAATTTACAACACAATATAATATTGGCTGTCCAAAAACTTTGAAAATGTTTGCAACTGTCCGCTCAATTTTCAAGTTGGACTTCATGTTTTGGAATACGATCGGCACCTTTAGTCCTGGAACCTTACCCTTTCGGTCACGTCCAATCACACACCAGAGAAGTCGGAAGCGGAAGCCGTCTGATGGGTGCAACGTCTTTACGGAACGAGACAAACGCGGTCCTTAAAATACCAAATGACAATGTGGACAATCGAGTTTCATCGTTTTGTTCGTGTCTTCTCAGCTAATGCACAGCGCAGACGACCTCCGGCACTTTACGTTGGCTCGAAAGAAGAACAATGCGCTGTGCACGCCTGTAGTTTTTTAATCCAGGATTAGTGTGTGATCCACAGACGTTACGGGTAGTATGCCCCGGGGAGGAGGGGTTGCCTAAGCTCTAAAAATGCTACGCGTTTTGATTTTCGGAAGGCTGAAAGCCGCACACCTGGATAGCAGTCCTGAGTCAGGCGATTATCCCTCAACGCTCGCGATGCGACTTTACACCACCCATCCATCGACCCGAACGTCTTGATTAAACGTTGACCTGTAATAATCCAACACGCTAGAAAACGATCGCCTTCGCGGACGTTTCCCCGATCGCACGTTCCGCCGGGCACTAGCACCGCCCAGTTGGTGCACCGGCCACGCCTGAGCGGGCCGTGACTCTGCGCCAGGGTCCGCCGTCCAGCGGTCAGCCT